TCTCAGGAATATACACATCGCTGTGGTTCTACTGCTCCGAGCAGAAGGTCTAAAAACTGCAGGCTCTTTTTTGTGAGAGCATCAGGCAGAGGAGCTCTCCCTCTTGTGGAGTCAAATGTAACTCCACTGGCAATTTAATTCTGCTTCCATGGTCACCCAGTCTCAGAGACAGATCGGACCTGAGTCCTAAGATAGCAAGAGAAAGATTAATGTAATTTACAGGATTCCTCATATGATGGCACAATACGGACAAGAGGAAGGTCCAGTCAGAAATAAGGTAATATCACTACGAAGACTGTATTTAGACCCGAACACACACTGTTCACACAATAGTTCTGAAATTCTTTTGCCATCAGGTATCTAGTTCAGCAGCTTGTCCTTTAACTTATGACCATTACTATCAAATTTGCCTTTCTTCTGTTTCTAAATGACTCCTTGCACTTCTACATAGAGGAAGGATTTATTACAGTTTTAAACCAGTGCATGGTCTTTTTCTTTTTTCCCCCCTCTGGTCTCTGCATGCAGGTAGAATGTTCTCAAACATCACTAAGCAGGTTTTCTTCCAGTTAAACTCTTTTTGTCCTCCCTCCCTCCAGCTGGCGTGGCTCACAGTTGTTTTTGGCTCTGGGAAATGAACATTTCTGAGCATTATATAAATACATTGCTGAATTGATCATTGTTCTCTGTGTATGCTGAACTGTATTCATTTCTATCACTTCACAGACAGAAAATTTTAGATGAAGAGCTATTAAAATACCTACTCATTTCTACTATTTTTTAAATTGAATTCTAGCATGAACGAATTCATTCTCATTTATTCTTTCCAAGAAGATCAACTTCTGATCATTTGCTTTAATGTTGATCACTTCTGTTTCAAACCCATGGTCACGTAACTGAAATTCCACTCCATTCTTTTGACTCTAATACTGACCTTTCAAGGTAGCTAATAACCAGACATTTCAGTAGCCCACTTATCTTTTATGTTTTTCAGTAACATCCGATACATTAAATGTGTGCTCCTAAAAAAGTATTTATCATTTTTTCTTGTGGTAATAATCAAGGCTCTTGAGGTACAAGACAAACTAGATAATTTTCTCGTTGTGATGTGTAGCAGCTTATTTCGTTTTGCATTTTATTTTTCTTATTCACTTTTCTTTTAATTTTAGAGCTTTTGAGCCACTTGCAAAATTATGGAACTTCATGTAGTTGCTTGGCTGACACTCCTCATAAGTCAAAAAATCAATCCTGCAGAAAAAAATGGGAAGATTTACAAAACCTGCTAGCTTATCAGAACACGGACTTGTTAAAGCTCATACTATAGATTGAAAGATTGTGCAATAATACTTCTTAAGTTTCTGTTATACAATGAAGGTAAATTTAAAGAAATATATTAGGAAGTATCTTCAGTTTCAAGTTTCACATGTAGTGAAGGCCTTTTATCTTATATATAATATAAAAGTATAATAGAGCTGTGACCTGTCCCAGTGTCTGGTTGTGCAACTCTCGGGTAGTTTCACCCTCCTATATCCTCATCCTACTTGATGTATGAAGGCATTTCCTCACCTCTGTATCCAGGGAACACACAATAGCCCTTATGCCTCTTCTGGCTCATGCCAAGCCCAGATATCTTCAAACTTGCTATGGCTGACAGCGTTTCCTCTATCAACACCAGCTTCTGTTTTCCTTTGCTGACACAGAAATGGCATCTGACACCAATCCTCTTCTCCTCTTTTTATTTAAAGAAATGTTACTTTTGGTAAAAAGCAAGAATCTTGTATTTTCTTAATTCCTAAATAAGAGCTAGTATTATCCCCTCATACTGTATTGCCCCAGCTTTTGCCCCTGAAAGGTCCTTCCCCAGATCTGCATGTGGGCTGCTCTCCAGGGTCTCTTGTCCCTGCAGCCTGGCAGGCTGCTGTTAAGCCTTCACCTCCAGGTGCTGCATCCTCCAGCAGCTTCCAGTGCTGTCCACATCCCAGTTTCTTCCACCAGAGAGAAGCCAACTGGCTAACTCGATTTTAAACAGCTCCCTCTAATATTTTGATATTTAATGAAGAGATACTTAGCCTAGGTGCCAAGACTGTCTCTGAAAAAGTGAAATTGTTTATTGTCTTGCTGTGTAGTTGAGCATCTGTGAATAATGTACAAAAATAAGTATTAACTCCTGGAGCAAGAAAGCGAATTTAATTGCTTATATATCCCATCTGAGAGCAACTAGAATTTTTTCCTTCATTATTGCTTTTTAATTTATTTATAGAGAACACAAAGAAGAGTTAATCTAACTTCTCTCCTGGCAATACAACTGGTGAGATGTAAAGCAGAGTAAATTTATCTCACAGTACTTTTTTATGCTTTAAAGCCACACAACTATAGCATTTGCCAAGAATCAAATGTTTATTTGTTTAAACACTTTCAGCATCTATGACTTGCATTAGATATTTGACAATAACTTACATTTGTAAGGAGTGAAAAATCAACAATCACATTAACATTTCTGAGATTCCAATGTCCAAAGAATTTCAGTAATTTTTATTTTTATTTAAAATTTTATTTACATTTATAACCTTGTATCTATTACTTTTCTTCTGTCCAGAAAGAAAACGAAGGCTTGTGCATCATGCCCAGAAAGTCCAAAGACTGTGCTAAGTTGACCTTTGTTGGATGCCCAGTGCCCATTAAGCTGGCCATCACTCCCCCTTGTCAGTGGGACATGGGAGAGAAAATAAGGTGGAAAGCAACTTGTAGGTTGAGGTAAAGCAGTTTACTAAAGCAAAAGCAAAAGTTTGTGTGTACACAAACAAAGAGGAAAAAAATAATTTTATTCTCTACTTTCCATCAGTACCATATCCTGAGAAGTGGGGCTTCAGCACAGCTAATGATTTCTCCAGAATGCAAACATTTTAAATAACAAATGCCCTACCTTCCTCACTTAACTTTTATAGCTAAGCTGATGTTATATGGTATGGAAAATCCCTTTGGTTAATTTGGGTCAGCTATCCCAGCTGTGTCCCCTCCCAGGATCTTGCCAGCCTACTGCTTGGGAGTGGAATGCTGGGGACACAGCACTGATGCTGTGCCAGCACTGCTCAGCAACAGCCAAAACACTGGTGTGTTATCAACACCTTTCCAGCTACCAAGGCACAGCACAGCACTGTGAGGGTTGCTGTGGGGAAAATTAACTCCATCTCAGCCAGACCAAATGCTCAGATTCATAAAAAAAATTGTCAAAGAACAGACAACAAAAGAAGTTTCTCAGCTCAGAATTTTGTTTGTAAATGTTCTTATTTCGTAGCTCTTATTACACTCCCTGTAATGCCTGCTGTTGCCACCTGAGATGTCACCTCAGGTGTCCCAAATAATTTACAAACTTTGGTCCTGCATTGAAAAACTTCAGAGGATGGTGCAGTGCTGTCTTAGTGTGACATGTGGCTAAGTACCGAGCATGACTTCGAACTCTGTGGAGACCAAGGTAGTCATGTTTAGTTTGGTGGCAGCTTGGAGGATTTGTACTCTCTCTGTGCCCTGATACAGTCTGGGACCACAGCTCTGTTACTAACCAGTGCTTTGTAAGAGATGAGGCAAAAATGCAGGATTTCTGTACACTCATAGGACAGGATCACAATGGTGCTATACTGTAACAGCATATTGTGTGTGAAGAGTACATGGGGATGTTCTGAGCTGGGCAAACTAAACTACACCCTAGATGCATGAAATTAGAATCCTCCAAATGACTTCCCAGTGTGGGGAGGGAGTGAAGAGAGGTTTAAATTGTAAGAATTGCCTGTTCCATTGCTCTTTCTCTGAGCCAACATCAATAACACACAACAGTTCTGGAAGCTACAAGGACTTATATATATATATAAGATTAAATTACTTTAGTCAAGGTTAATTGAAGAGGAATGGCAAAATTCAAATTAGAAACAATGTATGTTACATTTAAATATAAAAACAGAAAGGAAGTATGACTTGCCAACAAGAATTACAAATGTTACTGCGTGTCAACAAACCTTATTAGAGCTGAAGCATTTTAAGGTCTAGGTTGCAAGGCTGGTGGTTTTTTAAATTTTCCCTAACAGTTATTGTCTTTTCCTTTTCAGGAGACTAAGGATTAGCACTAGTTGCACATTCCTGTGTGCCACACTGAAAAATTTAATGTTCAAGAGAATATTCCTAGTTATTAACAGCCCTTTTCTTTTGTGGCACCCACTGGTGGGTGCACTTGTCCAGTGCAAGTGTCTGTGCTGGATATTGTGCAACAGGCACCTTTGTGGTGTGAAGACCCATCTGGAGGCTCTCTGTGTGCTCACTAGGAGACCTGCAGGTTACTCTGCCAGCAGAAACTGGTGAGATCTCAGGGTTTAGGCAGGGGCTCAAGGAATTTTGGAAAACATAAATTTTTAATTTGTCCTTGTGCATTTCTTAAATAAGTTCCACTGTGGAAAAAAAATCAGTATGATTCATGGGTTCACACTTTTGATACTTCTAAGCAAGTAAGGGACAGTCTGAGAAGGTGAAGTGTTTTCCCTGAATATACACTAGATGGAATGTGATGCAGTGCCTTGAAGATCTCCATGGCAGACTGTTCTTCTGGAAAGCAGAACTACTCCTAAACAATGGTATCATTTGTTTGTTGGAAATACCTTTTCTACAAAAGAGTAATGTATGTGGACTATCATCAAATGAAAATTTCTCACAGAACTTAAATGACCAAACCCGTTGGTTTTCTGGTTTTGGTAAACTACATATGCCAGGAATTATGCATTAGAGTAATTCAACACTAATATTGAGACTCAAAACATGTGCACCAGCAAGAATTATATACTTTTTTTTTGCTTTGGATAAGAATTTAGTTACATTTTTAGAAGACTACTATGGCTTCTACTTTCAAACTCAGACTCTGAATCTTGCAAAGATTTGATGTAATTTTTTTTACTTTTCTTTTGCCTTTAATATTTAGCACTTATCTACTAAGAAATATTTGTACATTAAGGGCTTTATATGATAACTCACAGAACAAACAGAATTTTAAAAAGAAATCCTGGAAAACAGAGTGTTTTATAAAACCATCACAACTTAACAGACATCAAACTGATGCACAGTACCCTGGTTAGTGCTCTAGAATGACTGAACATATGGGGAGAACTTCAGATGACAAAAATTGTTCCAGATAGGACATGTCAAGGCACAATTCTCAGTGTTGAGGCAACTCTATTTACTCTTAGCTGCTGTGGGTTCCATGTCTATGTCCAGGTCTGACAGAACACAGTAGAAGAGCATCTGAACATACTTCGTTGTTGTAGCTGTACTGGCAAAAATATGTGAGAGAAATTTATAATGTATCTTAGATATACATCTGGATTTTGAGGATTTGAAAACAGTACACAGATATTAGGAAAATCTTGAAACGCCATAATCAATAGAATTAAGCATATATTATAAATAGCTAAAGGCAAAAGAATAATTAAATTTAAATTCTTGGTTAATCAGATTTCCATCAACATTTTCATTGAATTGATAGCTGAATTAAAAGTATAATACATAAAAGTCTTAAAGATTTGTTTTTCAGGACTGCGTGAATTTGAGGACTGGCAGCTACCCTTCAAGACAATAATTAATAATTACTTATTTCAATGTTTCTGAAAATCAGTGGACTCCTCTGATTTGGATTGTTCCATTCCTTGGATGGAAAGTGAAGATATACTGACATTTCTGCCTTCCAAGATATTAAAAAGCTTAGGCTTAGTATTCACATTCCTACATGGCTTTTATTGAGCCAATCTCAGATATGCCACATACCAAAGCAGAGTAAAACTTCATAAAGAAAAGGATTTTAGGAAAAATTATTCTCTCCTTTTTCTGACCAAGGTTTTGACATGGTGACTGGGACATGATGTTGCTTACCAGAGAGCCAAAGTAGACATTTAGGACGTTTTTCAGCTGGCAGATGGACTCCCAAATAATATGCAGGAATGCCTGAGAGGGCAATACCAACACCAATAAGGGAATTGATTGTATCACTGTAGAGAGGCACTATAACCAGGAACAGGGAACACAAGCAATATACTATGGGGAAGAAGAGGCTAAGCTGTTAAGACAAAAAAAAAAAAATACAGCATTTGTTAAAAGATGCAACAAATACTCTATTGTAAAAATTCAGGCTTTGAAGATTAAAGTTAGGGATGTCAATAATAAAAGTATGCACTGAATCTTTTGACTGCTTACAGTCAGCATAATTTGTTAGCTTCTGTGTATACTGTTGAGAGCCTCTTATTTGGTACACATCTGAGCATCTGACTATTTTTTTTTTTTTTAGGCCTGCATAAACTCAGTTCCTTTATAATTAGTAAAAGATCAACCTTTGAAGAAGTACTTTAAGTAATGGGTAGCTTTCTCTCCAGCTTCAGTTCTGAATTTTTACATGTTGTTTTGGTTGGGAACTAGCTCAATAGACCTTCAGTTACCATCTTGATGTTGTAGAGCTAATGGACTGATTTACAACTATTTTGTGTGGGCACTTAACAAATACCATATCACAAATAAGGAAAGTTGGGCCACGAAGCTGATAAGAAGACTGGAGCACCTTCCCTACTATATCAGGTTGAGAAAGTTGGGACTGTTCAGCCAAGAGAAGAAATGGACACCTCATTGCAACCTTCCAGTGTCTTAAGGGGGCCTACAGGGAAGCTGGAAAGGGATTCTTCGTCAGGAACTGTAGTGATAGGACAAGGAGTAATGGGTACAAACTAAAAGAGGGGAAATTTAGGTTAGGTATTAGGAAGAAATTCTCTACTGTGATAGTGGTGAAACACTGGAACAGGTTGCTCTGTGTGGATGCCCCAACTCTGGCAGTAGTTCAAGGCTGGGTTGGATAAATCCTGGAGCAGCCTGGTCTGATGGAAATTGTCCCTGTCTGTGGCAGGGATGGTTCAGATTAGGTGATCTTTAAGATCCTTTCCAAACCATAACATTTTATGGTTCTATGATTCTATGAAAGTTTCAATAACATCTTTATTAATTTATTTTTCACTAATTTTTTTTTTTTACTCTCTCTAGTAGTGAGCCTTCTCAAGGGTCCAGGAGTTGACATTTGAATACCAGTTGAAATTGGTGAGAGTTTACTGGTATAAATACTTCCTTTTTCCCTTATAAAGGTTAAAAATGTAAGTTGATGAAAACCAACTGCTACATTTCAGAAAGGAAAACAGTGTATGTGGACTTGTGGTGTTGACTAAGCTGGCAAATGCTGACAGGAATTAAACAGTCATTGTGTATAATCTGACTGTAATCCTTACTAGAGTCAGAGGCAAAAGTGCCAATAAAGCAAGATTTAATCTTTATCTTCCACATATTTTGTGGGAAAGTTTGGAACTTAAGCGTGAACAAGCTTCAGGAAAGTTGGGAAGGTTTCTAGCAGGAGGTGCTTAGGATATTTTATGCCTTTGTTTGACCCCTTTTTAAAATTAATCAGGATGTTACACTTAAATAGAAAGAAAATGTATTTGTAAAAATGATGCAGCAGTTTAGGAAAAGAGATTGACAAAGAAGAAATATTTGGGGGGGTGTTAATTTGTAATTCTCTTGATTTTTACTGCATCACTGCAGAGCCAAAATGCAGGTCATGGTGCCAACAAACAGCAGCCAGTGCATGGTTTTGTGTGCCTTCTGTGTATTTCCATCCTTGCTTCCTGGACAATCACTGGATTAAAACTAGAAACAGGTTTTAGGCACACTATGTTTCTGTGCAGTCTCCCTCATCTAACTGATAGTCAAATGCTCTTCTAAGTCAATCATTAAACTTGCATTTTACTGTCTATGATCACTATGCAGTGGGAGGGAACATTTAAAATATATTTGATTATTTAAGCTAATTGCTGTGTGGGCAGAATTGTGGATCTTTATGGGATTTGGAGGCATTTTACTGTTTGTTAAATTATCTAGGTTTGATTAGAGTGTTAACCTCTCTGGAGCTTCCATCACAAGCTCTATTGAGGTCTGCTATTCCTCCATGATGGCCTAAAAAACCCAGGAATTTATTTATTCCTTATTTGTTCTGAAGCAAAAATTATTATGAATCTGAATGAAAGAAGAATAAATGGTATATATAATTTCAATCTCACAGCAAAACTACCAGAACAGATGTTCTTGTGGACTCTAATGGGTTTTGCTCTTTCATCTTGTATTTTGAAAGAATTTCTATGGCTAATAAATAATCTATAATATAACTGGTACTGTTATGGTTGTGATATTAAAGATCATATGAACACATGCATTAGCTAGCTTTTAGAGCTTTCTCCCTGTCTTTTTTACTTACTTTAACAGGCCGTGGTCTATGTGGCTGAGTGTACCTCAGATATATTAGTCCTGCAATAGATAGACCCACAAAGAGCCAGTAGTTGAAGCAGTAGTAATTAATAAGGAGGAAAACATCTTCCACAAGGAGATAAAGCAAAGTCATTAAGCCCTAGAGATAATAAAAACAAAGAGTTTTTAATGTGAAGGTAAAGACAGAGTAAAATGATAAACTTGCCTGTTTCCAACCTATTTCTATGACCTTAGGATATCAGTCCACTCATAAATTGAGACCATTAGAGTAAATTCTATGCCCTGCAGTTGTGCTATACTGCCTGCATAGAACCTAAACCACCAGCAATTCAATGTCTATTTTAACTGGTGAGCAGAAAAAACTTTCACTTTCCACATGAAAAATGTGAATGGTGGTGTATTAAGAGAGTATAGATCATTTGTTAGTGCAGACTCCCTGTGAGAAGAGTCCTCATAATGAGATTTATAATTTTTAGTAAATTAGTTGATGTCAAAAAGGATCAGTATGATAATTTATTCATAAATTATATGTCACACAGGGCAATGGTGGACACAAAATAAAATGTATGCTCAAATATACGGATTCTTCATGAAAATAATTTCCACTAATTCTATAACTTATGGTTCCACAATTTTGTGTCACAATATCTCATTTCTATAGTGACAGCAGAAAAAAGTCAACAGGGCTGTAGGCATCCAATGGTAGAAATTTATTTTTAAGAGTCTATCAGTCCTGTTATAACTAGAGTTGTAGAACATCAGTCTGCGGCAGTGTCAGAGAGATGTTCCTGACATATTCTCCTCCTGTGACTCTAAAACCTCACATTAAAGACTTAAAAGCTCCTGTCTATACCATTACATCTTTAGCCATTCTCTGTTTTCTCTGCAATGCTATTGTACTTCTCACTAATATTGTTTGGAAAGCACATGAACATGAATCAAACCATTCTCTTTCCAGTGGGAAAAAAACCCCAGTGGGACAAAATAACACCAGTGCCTACCCCCTCAATGAGTTTTAGAAGTTGTCTCCAGGGCAGGAGAAGCCTGTGAGAAATCCAGGGCAGAGCAGAGATGTTTTACCCGAGGTCCAAACCCCAAGTGCCCCAGCCAGGCACGAGGCTGGGGTGTCACTTACATTGAACAGGAGAGCAGGGACTGGTGTGAAGCACTTTATGTGAATCAAGCTCAGACTCACAGGGAGGTGTCCTTCCCTGGCTCCAACATAGAAAAGCCTAAAAAAACCCAAAGAAAACTCAACCATAAGAATAGCTTTTCTGTAATAACTCTTCTCTTTAGTTTATCAAATGGTGCCGATCATGAGAAGATGTCTGATTGTAACAATACCTCCATCATAAATGAATGACTTGGCAAAAATTACCAAACAGTAGTAAAGAATGCAGATTAATGATTCCTTTTCAATTATTTAAAATAAATCTTATATTTCATACCGAGATGCTGCAATAATTGATGAGTTTAAGCCACTATAGCAAGACATGGCCACTGCTATAGGAATTATCCACTTGGCATGACTAAGGGTTTCACCTCCAAATGTCTGTAACAGGAAAGAAAAAATGGTGAGGCCCACTATGTTAGGCATATGGACAATCCTGAGAAACTCTTATGAAAACACATTGTCCCAAATGTACTGTCATAGCCCATGCTTTTTTATGACACCCAATAATGACTTAGGAAATCAGAATTTGGAAAAGCTGATCAGCATCAAAATAAAATTGGCAGATACATTAGAAAAAATTTTAAAAAGTCTATGTCTAGATTAATTCAATTATGGAAAAGATGATGTATTGACTTTAAAGTATTCTGACAAATTTCAACCGTAGTAATCCATGAATTATCATTTTATTTCTGTATAAAATATTGATAAGGTTTTAAAAAACACTTCAGTGCACACTTCTGTGTTGAAAATATTGATGTGGTCATTAGTCATGCAGCGTTAAACATTACATACTGTACATTAGAATAATAACAAAAAAACCTGGTTCTCCAAACACTCAGACATTCTATAGTTCTTTCATCCTGGCAAAAGCATCTTTCCTATGATGTAGTGTTAAGAGCAGGATTTACAGAGTATACAAGACGATTTTTCAAGAGAAGACTTATCGGATACATTCTTGATATGCACCTTCTAATATACTGGTACTGTTACATGAAAAAAATGTTTTAAGCAGCCTTCAGCATGACAATATTTCAGCTGTTTGCCAAGCATGCTACCTCAAATTTCCCTGTAGTGTCTTTTGTCTGGGTTATGTTCCACAACTTACCACAGCCACTGCATCACTTGTGAGGAGAGCTGACATGTCCAACACTACATAGTATGCTATATTAGTCAATAGGTAAATAATAGCTACAATAGGCATTGAAATTGCAATAGAAAGAGGTAGGTTCCTGCAAAAGGAAAATGGTAAAATTATTTCATGTTATTTAAATGAGAAATACTTAAATAGAAGATTGTTTCCAGATTCAAGCATTTGTGAATGGATACCTTCATCATGTCTTCTAATCCATAATTTTGAATCACAGGGTTACAAAATAACATGCAGCCATGAATGAAATAATTCAAAAAGCTTAGTTTGTTGCTTGTGTGTCTGTCACGAGTTTAAAAAAAAAATCCCTTAAAACATTCGTACATGTAAATTTAACACACTGTCTGTTATATGCAGCAATTTAAGAGAGCTCTCAAAAATGAGATTTAAGTGCAGACTTAGGTATTTTCTTGATTGTGGCATTTTTTTCCTGACTTATAAGCTATGCATGTCCCAAGATAAGATGGACTGTATCAGCTTGAGTGGCTGATGCACACAACTCCCACAGGGCTGACATCCCTATAGAAGGAAGGAGATGATATTTGCCCATAAATAGTAATGCTGAAGATCACATCATAAAAGCCATAAATCTGACACAGTCTTACTCTACTGGTGGCAAAAAATGTCTTGGAAAAATAATTCTGCCTAACTGACAAGAAGCAGGGAATTTTAGAGGGCTAGATGCACCTTTGCTTTTCCTTGCTTTCAGCAGGGATATGTTCTCCTTCTTTAAAAATTGTATGTTGAAGTGTAAGATGTAAAATAAATATATACAGGAAAATGATTAATTAGTGTGAAACAACTCATAAATGAGTACAATAATCAGAAAGAGTTCTACTTACTCTTTCATTTGAAAAAAAAAAATAAGGTTTTTGAAGAGAAAATAATTTGACTAATTTCCAATCAGAAACAAATACAGAGTGGCTTGTCCTGCCATCACCTGCCAGTGATTCAAAGGAAAAGCATGTGTTTACCTCTCAGGATTCTGCATTTCCTCAGTGACATAGTTGAGTGTGTCCCATCCTGAGTAGGAAAAGAGGGCAGAGTAGAGAGCCAGGGCGATCATCCCTGGGTTGGTTGCTGAGCCCTCGAACGGAGCTCTCAGGTTTTCCGTTTCCCCTGTACAAATGGCAGGTGCCAATTGCCTGTTACATTTCAAGGATTCCAACTTAGAAGGGCACTACACCTGGAATGTCAGCTAACCAAAAGGAAATAACCCCCCACTGCATCCAAGTTTCATTACTGTATCTTAAAGTGCACAACTTACATTTTTACTCAACAAACAGGAGAGTTTCAGTGAGATGTTCAGACAGCTACACTTGCACAGGGAGAAAACAGAACATTTGAACATGTTTGTTATTTGGATGTGACTTTTGTAATGCTACCAGAATTCACAGCTTCTGACATTACCAAAGGAGGGAGCCATACCAAGGGCATGCAGTGCCCTGTCAGGCAGGATGAGGTGCCTGGCAAACCCAATTTCAGTTCCTGAATCTGTCTCATATTTCTTGCTAATAGCTGTGCTTTTATTTTCACCAGATTAATTAGTGGCCACTAGAGGGGGACCTCCTTTAGCCGTGTTTGTCAGTGGGATGCTCTGACCCCCAAGGGTGTTCCCCAAAACTAAGAGATTAGATTAAAAATCTTTCCTTTCAAAATTCTGCTGTAGCTTAGCTCCATCGGTTGAGATGACAACCTGCAGAATGCTGCAAAATAGGCGAAATGTTACTGAAACTGCATAAGCCTTCACTGCCATCCTGGAAAGGGGAAGAAAGACCTTACTGAGTTTGCAGAAAGAAAGCCAACTATCTAATGAAAATGGAAGTGGGTTAAGTATTAAGGGAGGATAGAAACATGCTGACACCTCAATTAGTAAAGAAAGTAATGTCTTTTTTTGTAAAATTAAGGCACTGATTCAACTAAGGAGCTTATATGTACTCCAAAAGCAATTCAGTCATTGAAGAGCAGGAGACTGAACCAAAGAAGAGAAGCTATGAGATGTACACATACATTGGAGAAGAAAATGGTTGGAAGGTAAAACAAAGAAAAATCAAAAATGTTCAAGAAAATTTTTTGTTTGTTTGCTTGGTTGGTTTTTATTGCCAAAGGTAGTTCATATTCAAAATCAGATCTATTTACAGTCTTTTAACACAAGGAGTGTATCCAAACACTAAAGCATCATAACTGTCATTTTCATTAAAACAGCTGCTGAGTTTAAAAGGGTCATTGACCTAATCACAGCTTCCTCCAGAAATCTACATCATTCCTCTTCCCAGTCTTTCCTGTATTTAAGTGCTCGGTTCTGTTTAAACAAAGCAGAGATGAGACCTTTACTACCAGTAAAAGTTCTCAGCATTTCATGTGCCTCACCATAATGTTTCCTGCATGCTTTAACCCTCCCTGAGCCCACAGAGCAATGCAGAGGAAACGAAGTGGGCTCTATGTGGGACCAGAGAGAGCAGCCCCTGGGTCCAACAGCATACCAGTGAGCAGGACAGGAGGCAGCTTTCAAGGAGGCAATTTCAAAGCAGGGGCAATGCTGCTACAGAAGTGACATCACAGAATCACATTTTTGCAAAACTGCAGCAGTTTTGTGAGGGGAACTACTCCTTCATGCAACTGTGACCCTTAAGCAATGCTTCTTCTCTGAATCTTCATGTCTCTGCCTTTAGGACTGGGTTTGTCCTAAACCTGGCTGTTCAGGTTTCTTTAGACTTCAACCAACTGGTGACAATGGACATGCAGAGGTAATGGCTAAACAAAAAGGCTTTCCTAAAATCTAATGTAGCTTTACAGTGTAACAGCTGATGCAACTGCAGCCAAGGAAAGGAGGAGGCCAGCAAACATGGAAAAGAGGACATGCTTGTTAGGTTTTACAAGCTAATTTAGCAGGAGAAAAAGATAATCCCTAAACTGAGAGGGGAAACCACCTTTATTTCATCTGAATAAAGATAAAATCACTATACAATATAAGAATTTCAAAGGAAATGAAAATGTAAGAACCTTAGCAATCTAAGCAGCAGAGCTGGAACTGGAAGACTTCACTGTGCCAGAGGCCCAAATTAATAAAATCAAATTTATTGCCATATTCAAAGCTCTGAGGTATCACCAGACTAAATTGCTCTCCAGCTTTTTAGTGTGCTCAGTTCAGTCCAGCTATAGCTGATAGGAGGTGGCTCATCTGCCCTGTGACACCTTACAGTATTACCATGTCCCAGTGATTCACAGAACTGCACTATTGCAGTCTTCTCCTTTGTTTCTAGAACAAATATACCCTCCCACAAATCCCACCTATGACTGACCCTCTCTGGTCATCTCCCTGGGCAGGGTGCTGTGGCTGGGGGGTGATGCTGGTGGGGTGAGGGGAGAATGGTGGTGGGGGCAATAGGACAAGTAGTAATGCATGAGTCAAACACCGAGGCTGAGTTTGAACTAGCCTGCAGTAAAGTGATGTTAATTCAGCTGCTATGTGCTATTCAGACCAAGCAGCACAGGACTTGAATACCAACCTGAATAATTAAGCCCCTATTTGTTAACAAGCCATAAAATACATCTGATCTGCCTATGGCAGACTTAGTTTTTCCAGAATAAACAACACTTCATATGTAAGTTTTAAAGATCTCCCTACATGAATTTTGAAATAATTTGAAATCACCCGTACATGACTTTGAATCATATATGACTCATTTCATAGAATTTAGGTAAATGAAAATGCTTCTTACCTTTGCCAATTTTGTAAAGGCCAACAGATATCACCAAGATAAGAGCCATAACCTTTGCATATGTGAAAATATCTTGTACACGGGTACCCCACTTTACATTAACACAATTAATAAATGTTAAGGAACCTGCAGAGAAAAAGAATATGCATGAAAGGACCACTGGATGTTTAACATCATTTAGGTCATATTTCAAACCCATCTTTCTAGATACCGCTCCTCTTTCAAGGAGTAAAACTGAATCAAATTTCACCACTTCAGGACCACTCAGATTTATTAAAATGGAATACCTGGTTTAAAATTTACACAATGGTTTTCTGAAGAATACCGTTTTCATTTCAGTAGGTAAGATAAAACACATCAGGTTTTGAATTTTAGGACTAACTCCTTCTTTTAAATAATATTTAAATTCTATTAAACTCAACAAGAGCTGTTTACATGCAAATGATAGTATTTCTTTTATCCTGCATATTACAAATTTCTTCAGGCTGAGTTAAGCTCTAGTTTAGGTATAGAATAAGGAAAACTTCTGCACAAAAATAATTTACATGCTGTAGTCAAGACAGTGAATTGAGCCAGGCCTGCATGCTCTTACTCTGTGCTCATGACTCAGAGTCCCTGTTTTGGCCCTGAGTCTGAAGATTGCACAGCACTTACTTACAGAGTCCTCTCAAGTCTCAGCTTTGACAGAACAAAAATAACAAAGTAGTTGTTTGCAGAGAGTGGCTGCGATCAACCAGTTTTCCTTTCCTCCTTTTGCCACATTCTCTGCAGATTTGTCCCTTGGCTGGCAGCAGGTTCAGCCAGGGGCTGAGCCATGTGCCCATCTGTTCTCACTCTAGTACACACACACACGACATCACAGGCAACTTCTCCCCCTTGCAATCCCATGATTCAAAACAGAGATAGATGAGGAAAGGTAATGGTGTGCATTGGTACCAGGCATGAAGCCCAGCTGCTGGAGAAGAGAGCAGAACAAATGTGGCATGGTGACCTAGAGTGCTCTCAAGCATGGATCAAAGTGGGCTATTTCTTATCTAGAAATCTTACTGATCTTTGTTTCTGTTTCCTTGACCTGCCTATAACCTATACTTTAGTTTAAAAGGAAGAAAAAGGTTTTGTAATGCTCAAAAAGAAAATAGTTTAGAAATCATTCTATACAGTAAGGGCACTAGCATGCAAGCATACATGCTCAAAGAACTTCTTGCCTTCATTTTCATAAATGAATCTGTGCATGTGACAGTGTCCTATCAGCCAGTTAGGCCAGTGAATCATAGACATACATGTATCTTTAATCAGCAGTCACAATTTATCCCTGACAAATTGTTGTAATTCTTCTCTCCACTCTAGTAATACCAGCACCAACCACAATACATCCAAATAAAAGATTATTAGTTCCTAAGAACACGTTTTAGATAGGTAATAATTATTTTCACAGAATGCAAAGAAATAGAAATTTAGAAAAACCTCCTCTAGCCATGTACAATTACAGTTCTTAACTTCTAGCAATCGCTACTTACATATACATGCAGCTGCAATCAACCTGACTGCATCATACGGCGGTTCACAGTGGGGAAAAATTGGCTGGACAATATAGTTAGCAAATGTGATTGCTATCACTGCCTGAGTTGTTGGTTCAATAATCAGCAAGGAAGACCAGAGTCTGATGAAGGCCACAAAGGCCCCAAATGCCTCCAGAATATAGGCATAACTGCCTCCAGATTTCAGGATGGATGTTCCCAGTTCAACGTAACACAAAGCTCCAAACAGGGAAAAAATCCCACCAAGTGCCCAGATGATCAGTGAGAGTCCATAGGAAGCACTGTACATTAAAACACCTCTGGGTGATACAAATATGCCAGAGCCAATCATGTTCCCTACAATTAAAGAAACTCCATTTAGTAATGTTATTTCTTTCTTCATCTGCATTTTTTCACTTGTCTCTGCCATGTTGTCCATTTCAGCTTTTGCATTCTTAGTTCTGGACTTTTTATTGCAGCATATTTGCCAAGGGGCTGGCATCTTCAAATCACATTACCTGAAAACAAGAGGAGAGAACATCTTTTGTAATGCATGTGTCATCAGAGACACGGATAAGATAATTAACATACAAGGCATAAATGATACAAAAACCAACTATTTTGTCTGATTTTATCTTGCAGTTCAGGAACAGCACACTAGTGAATTTTCTTAACTTTCATGGTTGCATATCTTTTCAATGGATAAATATACTGTCCTTGGTTATAGATTCTGAAACTTTTGTTAACTCTCAGTTCATAATTATTATTTGTCTTGAATTGTTAATACTACATTACATTATTGAAAATATTTTAAGGAAGAAGAAGACACTGTATCCCTGGAAACACAGTTCTAATACAGCTGGAGTGTCCTCTAGAAGAATACCTCTTCCTAAAATTTGTTCTTATCCCAGAAAGAATTTTAATTTCATTATTATTTGTTTCATCAAATGACATTCACTTGAAAACTGTTCTGCTGGGGAACACAAGATAAAAGACAGAAAAAGAGCCTCAAAACCTCTAATCTCACAAGGTAAATGCTAGTATGAGGGTAAAAAAATAGAGTTTTACTGCTCCTAGAGATGAGATTGCTGCTGCAGTGAAAAATGCAGCTTGGTTAGCTATTAACCTCACTTGACTTCTCAGGAGAAGCCACTAACATTCACGGGGATTGAGTCTGGAACACTCTGTCCCTGGAACACTTCTGTATAAGAGAGTCCAACAAAATATGCCTGTAAAAGCATCTCCCTCTGGTGCTCGCAGGACATGATCCAAGAATGCTGGGAGCTGGAAAAATAACTTAACTGCATAGCTCCATGGATCAATCACCTTGTGCACACAGCCACAGCTCTGGGGCTGAGGTTCCTGGGGACGAGGAGCCAAGGACTGCAGTGACTGTCTCAGTTCTTGGGTCCTGCTGACATGTAAGGGTGATTAGACCAAAGGCTAATTTTTGGTGTCTGTCCCAAAACACATTTGTTTCTCCTTCCCTTCCCCCCTCCATACACACTCTAAAGCACTTCTGAAGATAGCTTCCTGAAAATCCTGTTACCTGGATCCAAGTTCCCTGAGTAGAACAAAGCTCATCCAGCAACACTGGCAAAACAAACCTCATTTGAGTACAAAAGTTTACACATGACATTTACACATTACACGTGATTCACAAATTTATGTTGTTAAAATGTGGGTCAATGGCTAGTTTAAAACAATCTGCCCTCCCCAAACTTCCTGAAAGGTTTGCTTTCCTTTGTAAAATATGACTGTTTTAGCAACCCTGAATATATTATAATTCTATGTATTCCTTCCCAGCTTTTTTGATGCAACTTATTTTCCTAATTATCAAACAGCAAATGAGGCCTGATGAGTATTAAAAATTAAAAGATGCCAAACTCTTTTTAAAGAGTAAATGCTTTTCTCATCCCAATGGCACTTTCTCTAACCACAGGAACGCTGTGAGAACACTGGAATAAAGTTAAATATTAACTCTTGTCAAAAGTGTCTTTTTATTTTCTGACCTCCTCCTCACATACAAAAGTGACTCCTCATATCATCTCTCTATGAATAAAAAACATCATCCTGGTTTGCAGGGAGAAATTTCATGCATCCAACACACCTTCCATATATCTTCCTTTAAATTCCAGATAAGCTTCCTCTGTTTCCTTCTGTGTGACAGAAAGGAAGAAAAAGTCACCTTCCCCATCCCAAAATACAGGCTAACACTTCCAGAACCTCCTGTCTCCATTTCTGTTCTCAATGGCTACGTGAAATATCAGCAGAAACCTGTCCCATGATGGCAGCTGTTTGGAGAGTTCATCATGACAGTAGCATGCCAAAAATCTGGGCATAATTCTTTATTATTACTCCTTTTTCAGCATAGCTGGTTTAAAATCATCTTGTGCTTGTTATGCTTGATGTATGATTATTAATTTGTTTTTTTTTCAGGTTTTTGAATGCAAACTCTGGCTGTGAGCTGAAATGCACAACTATTTCAGTCAGCACAGCTCAAATGGTGTGGGAATTTAAAATGCAGTTGTTACCCAGGTCATGTGAATGTGGAGCTATGCAGGTAGTGATCAAACTCAGTGGCTATCACTTTCCCTGAAATGAAGTCTCACTGATAAGTAGGATACAGTTATTTTCTTGTAAAAAAGAATACCTCAAGTAATTGGTAGGTACAGGTAACTTGTGTAAGTGGTATCAAACCTGAACTTTGATGTCTAGTACATTTGGCCTGCTAGCTAAAGGGAATTTGATCATTTAAACTGGCAATGCTACTGAAGCCTAGTAGCACTTTTACAATCTGCAGCTTTAATGAGAGCACAAAGGTAAAGTTTAAATTATTTTCTTAAGTAACACAGTGTTTTGCATATTTTTCTCTTATCTCTTGTGCTACCAAAAGATTATTTCCGATTTCTAAAAATGTGTAACCAGAGGTGTGGAGGGAAGTATTCCATAAATAAGTGACTGTGGATGAAACCATTACGAAAGAAAAACAATTAGAAGAAACAGTTCAAAATTCAGTACTTTGAGACATGTCACATTAGCAAAACTTTTACCCAGACCCTCAAATCAGTCCATAAATAGGTATGGCCTGAGAATCAAAGGGTAAAAGATTCGGTTTCCAGTTTCAACAACCAAGATGTGCAACTTCACTGTAATTAATTTTTATCACCTGAAAGCAGAAATTTTTGAACAAAATATTTTAAACAGCTTCTGCCTGTCCTTCTCCACCAAGACAACAGTAGTATTTCTAGCAGCTTTGACAGTGTACTGATTTAATTTGGTGCCATCCCAATGTTGGAGCAGTTACTGACTTCTTTATTCAGGACCATGTCATCTTTCTGGGACCATCACTGTTGCTTCTGCCTCAAACTGGTGTGCCAAGAAGCTTAAGCTGAGGAGATTATGTGTTCAAGAATTCTTCAATAGCTCTTCTCTATTATTTGGACATTTAGGTCACATTTTGAGGGTGCACATAATCCAAGTTAGAGACAGAAGAAGCTGCTAGCTGAGAGAGCTTGTTGGGGACAACCATCAGAGCTGTAATAAGGTAATTTCTTACAGGGGAGGCCATTTTCAGTTGTAAAATCCTGTATTACAGTAAATGACAAATATTTATGGTGAAGCTTCTAGCACTCGAGTGGCTTCCTGAGAGCAGAAAGTTTTAATTTATGCAGTAATTTAAAAACGAGGTTCTTTGCATCCTGCTTTAAAATGGTTGGGTATTGTGATGATAAAACTTTATGGCAATAAAAATACCAGTACAGGTATTTTAGTGTGGAAGGGGCAGACAGCTGGTCTGTGAGCCAGAGAGAATTAATAAGGATTTCTTATCAATTGTTTCCTTCTGAAAGGAATTTTACCAAGGTCGTTGGCATGGAGATCGAGAGGAGAAGGAGAAGATAAGCAAGAAGAAACCTGCAGCTGGAAAAAGTATTTTTAGAAAGGTTTTGTGAAAGTAAGTTGAAAACAGTGGTGAGGACTGCTTTGCACCAATGAATGTTGCATTGATCTATTGTAACCAATGAATAAAGTGTAAACTCTGTGGAGTGTATAAAAGACAGCATGCTGTTGTAATAAACAGAAAAGAAGCCTTCTGAAGCTACACCGAGTCCCTTTGTGTGTCATGTCTGTCTCAACTGCGACATTTTAGTAACTCTTGAGCATGAAGTATGAAGAGCAAAGCATAAAAGCTTTCTGATGCTAAGGAAGGTCCTTGCTGTCTTGGACCATTGGACTGGGACAAGAAGAAAGAGCTATTGGTTTCTAGAATCAATGTGCCAATGTGCCTGAGAGGCTGCAGCAGGTTGAATGACACAGCTGCCAACACTTGCCTCTGCCTTGTGTCAGCAAGTGACCTCTGTTTTACACTACTTCAGAACCCTATTTTAATGCAGGGCTTCCTTTTCCTTAGAGACTCTCTCAATAAATGGAGGGAAATTTTCCTCTCAGGGAAAGCACAATGCCTTCAGAGCCCAGACAGCCATAATGGCCCTAAATCCTTGCAGCTTCATGTTTACCTCACAGCTGTATGTGCAAAGAGCAACAGAAAGGACCTTGGAGAACGACACCTGAGAAGTTAAACAGCAACACCATATACAGGTAATTCTCAATAGCTCTTTCTTAAGCCACTGCCAAAAGTCATACACGAAAGTGGAGGAAGAAGGGACAAGTAGTGGAAAACTAGAGCTGAAATCAAAGACAGCTCTTCCATGAATTACTCTAGGGCTGGTTTGGCAGGGCAGGATTTTCTCAGACACTTCCCATTCTTCAGGGGTCTACATTTCAGGAATGATTGCTTCCTTCTTAAGGAGATAATTCACCTTTGCCAAATCATTCAGAAAGGCTTGGTCAGGGAAGTGCTTATGTACTTCCACAGGAACTTACAGACTTGTCAAGTCTTACAAACTGCTCCGTAGCCTTCTAGAGGGACTGAGGTGCCTCTATTTGTTACAGCATTTAGCAATTCTCATATTTTATTTCAAGAAATATTAGTAACTCAATAAGGTCCTAGAGATCAGTTATTGTTGCCTTCAGCAGATTCCTTTGGAAACTGAGGGCATTTAGGAAGCCAACTCCAATGAAAGATGTTGAAACGTCAGATTTACACCTCATTTCATGGTCTTTTTTTTTTTGGTGAATTTTGCCTACCTCCACAAAATTTATCAGTAACAAAAGTGTGCTATGCCACCAATGAACCAGGCAAAGTCAAAACAGCTAAGAAAACTGATCAACTCCCAATATTTTCTAGTTTCAGTCAGAAAATTAGTGAGATTAGGAATAACATTTAAAATTAAAATCTAGCACATTTTAATTGTGTGTATTAGAAATCAATATGCATGTAGAAAACCATTGCAAAAGTCATGATCAATCTCTTATTTTCTCCAAGCACATTCTGAGCAATTTTCTCCTGCCTGTAGAAGATTGACCAAAAGTTTAAAAAATCCAAGCATATATATGTATATTAATAGCTATTGGAACACGAAATCAGATGAGCAAGCAGTTCTCAACATGTGTGTAGTTCAAACTTCAAAACACTAGTACTGAGTATGAGCCTCAACAGGTCTCAAAGGGAGTATTCATGGCAGATTGTACTGTTGGACATTTCCCAATGAGGAAAGCAAACAAAACAAGATTATGCAGTATGACGAAACAGCATAAAATAAAATACTCTCAGAAATTATAATACTAAAACCAAAAAATCCACTTTGATCTCATCTGAAGCAAGCATTTCTCACTCAATAGGAAACAAGCATATTTCCACTTGTTTTCCAAATTCTATGTTTATAAAAATATTTAATGAATTATTGCTTCACGTACTCCAATGCATTACTATGGTCATAGACTGGCTTTCCCACAGGACAGACTTGCTCTGCCCCCAGCACTCCATTCCCAGCCCAAAGCAAATTACAGAGGAGATTTGAGAGAAAAGCTACTATAGCCCAAATCTAAGGAAGTATTAAAAAGAGAAGTTAGCAGCTTACCAGAGGGTGGATGATATGCTTGCTTCCTTTAGCAGAAAGGCTGCTGTAATAGAACAGTGCCTCTCAGGCTGCTGCTCTAAATAAACACCTCTGTTATGAATAGCTTCTTGTCTCACACCGTTTAGCCTCGCCTTACCTGCTATTTTTATTACAGTAGCATGAATTTTAAATTAATGAGAGCTTTCAAGAAAGATCTGACTCTCCTGGAATGTGGTTTCTTCAAACAGACTCAATTGAGGTCATTGGCAGGCAGAAGCATGCAACTGCTGCTCTCTAGTCCTAAGAAAGTTGTGATAGAAATAAAACAAAAGGAAAGTTGGGAGGGAAGAAAATCCTTCATCCATGTGTCACTGAAGCCATGAATAATGCAGTCTAATTCCTTCTTGCTGATTTAGAAAGCCACAATGGAATTTTTTCTAACACTTCATGAAGAGGTTTATTCTGGTGGCATAACTTGCTAAATAAGAAAGTCAGAGGGGGTAGACTAGCAAAGAGTTGTATGTAGTTAACTGAAAATCATAGGTATTATTTAATTTCAAATAACCAAATGCTTTTCTGCTTGGTATTTTTTTCCCAAGATTTTCTTCTAAGTTTAATCTATGCGTTGCTAAATATTAATCAATTCAATTATTTTTCTTATCTTTGGAATTATAGATCTGTGCCTTTTATAATAATTTATGACATGAGACACAAAACAGGCTAATCTGGTGTTAAGATCTTATTTTAGTTCAATAAGCTTTTAAAAAAATCTAAGTAAAAATAAACAAAGAAATTATTTACCCAGTGTATTCACTTAGTCTTCTCAAATAACAGGTTGTCCTATGACGTCCTTTAGCAAAGCCAGTATGGTGTTCAGCATAATGCCTACTGAAACAAGTAAACATCAAGAAAATAAAATCTTCTGGGATTTTACAAAATAAAATATTAACAAAAAGTTAATAAATGCAAGAGAACTAACTTGGGATTTTTGTTTTCCATGAAGAATGATGTACTCACGTGCCAAAGTTCACCTAGAAGGAGCTGATCCAGCAGGTCTTGTCACTAGTCTTGTCACTAGTCAAAAACCCTATTCAAAGCAGTTGTAGGACAAATTCTTTGCATAAACAGCTTTCAAGCTGTTTTATCTATGAAGGATGAGAGCTATTTAAGTCTGCCTGAAAAGATTGCACAATTCCAGCTGCCTGCAATTATAATGTAGCAAGAAACATTTTGGCAATAGGATTGTTTTGCAGGAATTTGTTCCTTGTTGGACAAACAGAGGCTGAGCACCATGTTCATTAATCAGGGCCTCTGCTATCTTAAAGTATTTTTCTTCTGCCAGGTAGTGTTAACAAACTGTAGCCTAAAGCCCAGAATGCATATTTTCAAGAATGCATACTTACTTTCACTCTGAAATTTGAATTTAAGTTTGTCCTGTTTCTGATTTGGGGCACCAAACTATTTTTCTGATTGTGTATTATACTGAGGGACTCCGCTACCATACCACCTTTATATCATCTATTTATCCTGCTCCTGAGCCAGCCTCAGCTCTTTGTTTCAAGTCTGTAGAAGCTGCAGGTTGGGACCTGAAAGAGAATCCTTTCTTCATTAATGTCTCCCATATTTCTATTCGTCTAACCCTCATGGTTACACACTGCTGGATATTTCCCATAGATCTACAGGAACAGCACATAAATCAACACTAAGCAATCATAAAGCATGCACTGTGCATATAAACATGCATTTCCTTACTGAACAGCAAATTAAGGCATGCTTGCCTGAATAAACCTGTGACATTTTCTGGTTTCTTGCCCAAGCTTCCATTACTGATGAGGAAGGCTTTTCATACTCTGCACTGGAAAACAAGACTACTTGAATTATTTCCAGAGCCCTCTTCATTCATACCATTGCTCAGCTTCAGTGAACAGCTGCAGCAAGCAGCTCAGTGGTACCACTGCCAAGTCTTCTGCTTGCTCCTGTTCGGTAACTCTGCCCTCTGTGCCTCAGCCAGCACAGGCCCCTAGAGTCCTCACCCACAACAGCTGCACTTACACTGAACCCTGATTGAAAACACACTGCCAAACACCCTCTACCATTAACTGCAAGACTCTGAATGACAAAGGCCAACATCTGTGTCATCTTGGTAAAATTAGATCTTTACTTTGCCATGAAATTGATGCAGGAGAGAACACAGCTCATGGACCAACAAACTTCTTCCAACCATGTTAACTTCAGGCATGGGAGCAGAACACAAGGAGCAGCCACTACTAAGTGATAAATTGCTAAAATACCATACAAAATCTAATGCAAACAAACACAAAATAATACGTGTAGTCCTATGTTTCTATTTTCTCCCGTGTATGTGTAAAAAGACATTTTTACATTCACATTTTGAAAGGCTTTCAGTGAGCTGTTACAAGTCAGAGAAACGCTTTTAACTGTCAGTATGAAACATCAGCAGCATTTCCCCTTGGAGTGAAAAAGCAGAAAAATCTGTTAGGAATTGCAATGAAGTGAGGAATGTACAAAATACTGTTAAAACAACTATAAGACAACAGAAGTGTCAGACTGTGGCTCCTATTGACTCTCATGTGTGTCACCCTCTCACACCCTTCACTCCGTGTGGCCAAGCACACAACCTCTACCTCTCTTCCCCCATGCCGACCCCAAATCATTCTCCTTATGCCCTTGTCTGTATCTCTCAAGGCCCAACTGTGGCTGCCCCTTCCCCCTCCTTCACTCAAGGAAATCTGTGTGTGCCTAACATGTTGGAGAGGATGGGTTGATGTTGCCCAGAGTGGTAGTGTCTGATGCCCTGGAAACATCCAAGGCCATACTGCACAGGGCTCTGAGCAACCTGATCTAGTTGAAGATGTCCCTGACCATGGCAGAAGGGCTGGGCTAGCTGACCCTTAGTGGTCCCTTCTAACCTGAGCTATTCTATGATTGTACTCCATCATGGAGGGAGGCTCAGGTTCCAAGGAAAGAGGAGGGAGATTGGCATGAGTTTTTACACTGAATGGCCTCAGGGTTTCCTTGGAGGGCTGGGCTTTTGGCTGGAATGCTCATGGTCTTACAGATGTGGGCATATTCAGAGCTGGGAGCAGAAAATTACTTTTTCTGCAGCTGTGCCACATGAAGAGGAGCAGCCCATAGGGATTGCAGCAGTGTGACAGCACCATTCCTGAATGTGAATCCATAGGGCCACATTTAACATTGTAATTAAGGGAAACCAAGCTAGTTGTGTACTGACAGGCAGGTGTCAGCAGGGTTACTCTGAAAGCTGCAGGATGCTCTTTTCCCTCATGTAGCTGTCTTAGAGTGGGTTCTCAGGGAAGGTCTTAATACATGATGAATTCTGGACACACATTGAAGAAATGTTACTTTGCTACCTTGCAAGACACAAGTCTTACTTTAAGCACCAATAATGAATAACTGTGGCTTAAAATGTGATGTGCAGTGAAACACACAGTTCTGGCATCAGCTTTCCTCAGACCTCTCCTTGCTGGACACCATTAGGTCTGCTAATGGAAAAGCACAGCCATTCATTGCACCATGGTCCTGGGTTTCAGCTATCTAACTTTAATTTTACAGCCTCTAGAGAGAAGCAGGATAAAAGGCAAATACCCAGTTTGTGTCAAAAACTGACTTTATTAAAAACAATTCTGAATCCCTGCTAATTTTAGATAGCCTGAATAGAAATTATAATTATTTATTAGTGCTTGTAAAAATAATCTGCCTGTGAGGTGTTCTGACAAAACAAGTAATCGTTTTACTGGTTTTGAAGTCATCTAGATAAAGTCACTAAGGTCCTGTGAAATGAACTGAAAAAAATACCACATACCTTTTCCTCTCAGGTGGCCACATTAGTGCCTCAACATATTAACCATCCTTCAGACAAAAAAGGACAGCAGAGATGTGATATGGAGAAGGTTAAGGCAGGTCATAGCAGAAGAGACTCCTGCACATTACTTCCAGCGTGGCAAGGCAGGGCATGATTGATCTTTGTGCAGACCCAACTACTGTTCATCATGTAAATATCAGAAATAAAACAGTTAAAAGTTTGATCTAGCAACATGACACAAGAAGTATTAATGGCAGATGACAAAGGTAAGGGGTGGTAAGATGGCAGGTGACAAAGGAAATGTTGAAGATGTATGAACTGAGAATGCCCTTATGGAAGTTCTTTCTGGATCTCATCCTACTAGGATTTCAGGAATAGATGAAGTGGTTATAACCACACAATGTATAGCTTTTCTATATCACTTCTGAGCAGAAGAAAGATTATAAGCATAATGTTCTCCTTTCTCTTGGGCTCCTCTTTGGACTGATATTCTTCTTATGCAGTGGTCTAAGGCACTTGCTCTGGCAACAAAATGGGAAAAGAAACCCTAAACAAAATAATAAAAAAATCCTGTAAAAACGCAATGTAAACTTCCTACCACCTACCACTTCTCTCTTGTATGCACACCAGCAAGGCTTAAGGAAGAAAGTTTATTATACACACAGCAGTACAGCCCTGGAAAAAAACACTTTTTTTACCTCCTCTGTGAGAAAGAGCAGATGGAAGGAGAAAAACAAACATGCCACGCTAAGATGAGATGTCTCAATCCTGTGAGATGAAAGGAAAGGATATGTATAAATGGAAAATATGTAAATTGGTCAACTTTTAATGTTTTTGTCATGTATAAACAAAATATTTTTATAAAATGAGTCAACAACCGTCAAGTGTTTGGCTTCATGATTGCACTCCAACTTATTAATTGGTCACTGACCAAATGCAGGCTAGAAGAACTCAGAGTCATTTCTAAGACTCTACAAAGGCACAGTAAAGACAAAGCTGCACATATATAAAATACTCTATTAAAAAAAGAATCATGTTGAAAGAAATATTCACATGGTTTCATAAAGAAAGAATAAACTTAAAGATGCAGTCTTTGAGAATTAGATACAATATCTGGATAAGGTTGAAGTCCTAGCTGTTTATTATCTTTCAACTTTTGTACTATAATTCTGGCAAACTCCTCTCCTTGGCTGTCTGAAGTATCAAGCAGTTGTCGTACTTTTGATGTCCTTGTAGGTTTGGTGCTTATAAGTTCATAATCTTCTTTCATGAGTAAAAATCTTGATAGAAGAGCATCCAGTGATTGATTCAAACATGCTTCAGTCATCTGATCAATAATTTGTTCTCTTTTACTTTGGATCCACTGATGAGCTACATTCTGTTGGGTGGTTTCCAATACAAAATCTGAGATTGGAAAGGATTAGAAAAAAAGGAAGGGATTGTAACTGTCTGTCAACAAATATTGCCACAGAACAAAGAATAAGTTGAAAAAAAGCTGTTAAAATATTCCAATTTGACAAATTTGGTAGTTAGAGTATTTAGTCTATCTGAATCACAGAATAATCTAGGTTGGAAGGGACCCTCAAGGAGGTCATCTGATGTAATGGCCTGCTCAAAGCTGGGCCAACTTCAAGGATAACTCAGGTTGCTCAGGGCCTTGTCCAGCTGAATTTTGAGTATCTCCAAGTGATGGTACTTCTGCAGCCTCCATGGGCAACCTGTTCCAGTGTTCAACCCGACCTGGTACTAAAAAGAGACAGGTGGTAAATTCACTTTCCAGGGGGATTTTTATTGAAGATTACTGAAAATATCCTTGTAGTTTCCTGGTATTTTTCTCAAGATGAGGTTTCACACAGTGAGAAGGTGCTGATTCTCGAATTTCCAGAAGAGGGATGGTGTAATAGATCTTTATAAAGTTGCGTGTTATTGTGTGGCCCCTCAAAAAGTATTTCTGAATAATTAATCATTAAAGTTTCTTTTTGTTAACTTTTCTGTTAACTTTTAACAGTTATTTGATGTGTAAGAATATAATATAGTGGGCTTCCAACTAACACAGAGGATCATTACAGGTGAGATGCTGACACAGTTGCTGCTTCTCTCAGCCCCATTCCATTGCTAAGTGGAAGGCTGGAAAGCCTAAAAACTGAGAAGGCAACAAGATTACTTAAGTTTGAGCTAAGTTTTAATCCTATTCTGCTGGACTGTGGCATTGCTAGAGCAGTAAGAGATAGGAGAAATAATATAAGCAAAGGAAATGGGATGCATAGCAGCAGGAATCTGACTAAAAGGAGAGAAAAAAAGCTACTACTACAGGTAGCTAAAGTAGCTACCTGTACTTGGTCACATTTTACACTGTTTTTGCTTACTTTGTAATATAAATCTACAGGGACAGAATTACTTAATTTTGCATTCCTAATTAGCATACGTTTTGTTTCATTTTGCAGGTGAATGACAGTTCCAGCTTCCATTTCATACGGACACACACAACGTATATTCAATGTTAGATCACTTATTGTGGGTCTTGGGATCAAATGATGTTTGCTGTACCTGAAGGAATTGGCGATGACCGCAGCACATGGGATGCAGAACCTGAGGCATCTGAAATACTCTTGTCAGATGAGAGAACAGTACTGTATGGATGCACAAGGAGTTTGGCACTCTGAGTTACAGACAGATTTCCATCCGTGCTCTGGCTGCTGAGAGAGTGTAGACACCCAGAATTTCCATCTTAGACAAAAAAAAAGAAGGAAAACAAAAAGAACAAGCTATATTACTTCTGTGTTCAAATAAAATACACCCGTCAGAGACTATTTAGAGTAATTTCACAAAAGAAATCATAAACTAACTAGTTTTACATGATATACAACAAATCTTTATACACAAATTCTGAGTACATTTATGTCCCTTATATTTTACCAGGACCTGACCATGGTTTGGGGTCCTGCTTTATTTTAAAGAAATATTGGGAGTGTAAATCTGGTAGATATGAGCTTTAACGAAAAAGATCTGTTTGACATAAAATTTTTGTAAGGACTAGAAGAACAAAAGAAATCGTTTGGGTATTTGGAGAGGTAACTAGAAGTCAGCAGGAAAGCAGACTAATTCATCTTGATAAAGTTTGGCAGCTAACAAAGGTGAAAAATCTTAATATAAAGATTCAGGTGGGGGAAAAGGACATGAGGAGCAGTGGGAGAAGTTAACATTCAGTGGGAGGCAAATGGAAACTTTTTGTAGTCCATCAAAACAGGACATGACTTCATGGAAGCTTCATGTAAACTACTGCAAAGAAAAGTAAAAAGGATTTCTATCAGGTGGGAAGTTTAACAGTTTCAAGTTTTAGGATTTTTTTTATAGTAGATATGAAAGCAGCAGTAGGAATGACCCAAGGAAGAGATGACAAACAGCTGACGAGAAACAAACTACAGAATATGTGCCTAACTCTGTAAATAGCTTTGATAAGACTTTCACAGTGTCACTTGATAAAGACACAGTAACTTAGATGTTAACTAAGAATCAGAGATGTAAGAATTCAGATGAGCATCTAAAGACACAATGAGGTAGCCCCATGGACAACTCAAGATTACCTGTCCAATGGGGAAATCTGAAGGTGTATTCCCAGCTCTTTCTTGACCTGTAGAAGAATATGTCTGTAAGTACACAGAGCAGGAATAGGAAAAATGTGGAAGAAACTCCATTCTCAATATTTCAAAATGGTGGACTAGAACTCATAGTAAATAGCATTTTATTTCATGAACAAGGGAGAAAGTTGGGCAGAGCTATGCACTGTGAAGCAGCAGATATTATCTACTCCATGAAAAGAGGGGATTAGGAGACAACCACTGTGAGTGAAAGATCATTTCAGGAAAGTATTTCAAGCAGCTGTGCTGGGATAGACTGTTATACATTTTTAGGCACTGATATTTATTTCATAACATAAAGACAAAACTACTGGGATTGTACTGGTATGACAGAATGACCTTGACCAGTGACCACAGTATAACAAAATACAATCATAAAATCACACAATTGTTCCTGTTGGAAAGACCCTTGAGATCCTTGAGTCCAGCACTACCAGCTCCACCACTGTCCCATGTCCTGAAGTGCCACATCTACATTCTTTTAAATACCTCCAGGGCTGGTGACTCAACCACTTCCCTGGCAGCCTGTTCCAATGCTTGACAACTCTTTCCGTGAAGAAATTTTTCCTAATGTCCAATCTAAACCTCCGCTGGCACAATTCAGGGCCATTTCCTCTCATCCTACTGCTTGCTGCTATTGCTTGTCAGTTTAAGAGGCCACCACTGGGCCACAATCTCCTTTCAGGTAGTTGCAGAGAGCAAAGGAGCAAAATTTCCTCTCAGCCTCCTTTTCTCCAGGCTAAACAACCGTAGTTCCCTCAAAAAAAAAAAATGCTAATGAGAGTTATTCAGACGTTATTCAGAAAAAAACCAGATTGATTCAAGTTACTCAAAAAGAACGTAAGTGACCTAGAAGACCATAGTAACAGAAACAGAAAAAGAAGGAAAAATATAAGATCTAGATTCTGTTTCAAGCTGGGGCTAATGATTAGAAATGAGATGAAGAATAAAAACAATCCCTAAGTAGATTATTCTGTAATGAAGGACCTTGTGAGAAAGGAAAAATAAAATTCTAAGGTATACTAAGTGAGGAGGAATTTGTAGACAAAAGAATGTTTGTCATGTCTCTTGTAATACTACATAGCCTTAGTTCAATGCCTTAAGTTAGAACAAGTACAGGAGGACTAGTTAGGATACTATGAGAATAAAAAAGTTTATTTCACAAAGGAATTTCAAAGACTGCATCCTGTTCATCCAGCAAAACAAAGTATATTAAAGGATTACTCTCTGTATCAGAAATGAAATGGGAAGAGGGAAAAGAGCTGTTAAAAGAAATACCCAAGAAAAACTCGTTAGGGAAGGGGGGGAAAAAAGATGAAAAGAAAGGCTAAAAGCTAGAAGACAAGCCTTA